TCTATCTTGGCGAGACTTTTGGACACACGCTTATTAATTATATTAATGTTAAAATATTCATCAATGTTCAAAGAGAATTTTGAGGTATTAAAAATATTAAAAGTTACCTGTTCATTCCCAACTCGCAACGGTAACTTACCGTCATGCACATTGATTAAGACTTTACCTGTTGTAAGGAAGGGTCTTCCAAGTATGAGGGGAACTTCTCTATAAACTTCAATATCTAACACAACAAAGCCAACGGGGAATATGAAAATTTTCACCTTTACTAGCACATCCTCTATTATTCCCAAAAGATATCTAATTGATCTATCTGTTAATTACAATGATACTGTTGTGGGCTTCACCTTGCCAATACCTAATTTTTTGAACACATAATAAGGTATTAAGTTAATACTAGCACCAACATCACAAAGAGCTTTATTAAAATCTTAATTTCTAATATTACATGGTATAGTAAAACTCAACGGAGCTTTCACTTTAGGAAGTAACTTATTCTGAATGATATCATTGCATTCCTCAGTGAGCATAACAGTCTCATGGTCTTTCAAGCTCCTCTTCTTTACTAGAATCTTTTTAAAAAACTTCTCATAACTTGGCATTTGAGTAAGAACCTCTACAAAAAGAATATTAATGTGAAGTTTTTCAAATATATCAAAAAATTTAAGGAAATTCTTATCTTCATTATGTTTTTTTAGGCGTTGTGGAAATAGAACCGGTGGCACATAGGGTTTGACCACTGCTTGTTTTTTCTCTTCTTCCTGCTCTTCTTTCTTTTTCTTTACCTTTTCCTCTATACTTGTTTCATCTTTTTTTGTATCTGCCAATTGTTTCCACTCCTCAAGGTAATTGCCTTGACATATTCTTTAGATTCATCTCTGTGTTACTTCGTAAGGTACCTTAAGCTCTTTCATTAATCATGTTTGCTAATTACCCCATCTGGATCTCCAGGTTTTGATCGAAGCTTGCTAATTTTGCAACATTAATTATTGATTCTATATTATTGCTTCAATCTTTGTTGCAAACTCTATTGTGTTTTTATGAATGGCTACGATCATATCTTTAAGTGATGGCTTCTTTCTTGAGGCTGAAATCTTAGGAAAGGCCTAGTCACATTCTCCTTATTTTTTCATAAAAAGTTTGGATGATTTCTCATCCTAGGATTGTATATGTTCAAGTGTGGGTTGTATAGTGGTCTGCACTGTCCAGCTACAAAACTCACTTGTTACGCCTTACGTTCTTAAAAAGGATCTCTATATACATCTTATACATGAGAATTAATAACCTTAACACTCTTTTGATCAATTTTATTAAATAAAGAATCAATTTTTGCATTAAGAGCAGTTGAAAAATCAATATCATATAATCCAACATTCATTTTTTATTGATGTCTTTTCATTGGCCATTGATAGTTTTCATGGTCATTTCTTCCAAGAGCTCTTAAGTATCATTTGTAGACTTCTCTATTAAAGCTCCTCCAGCAGTTACATTGATTGTGATCCTGGTTTATTGGCTCAATTCATTGTAAAAGGTTTGAACCAATAACCACTTAGGTAACCCATGATGATGACATCTTCTAATCAACTCATTAAATCGCTCTCATGCCTCATTTACCGTCTCTCTATCCATTTGATATAAACTAGTGATGTCATTTCTCATCCTTATTATCTTAAATTGCGGAAAAACTTAGTCAAGAATTTTTTAGTTAGATCTTCCCATGTAGTGACTGTACCTGCACGAAAAGAATGCCAATTTTTAGTTTTATCTCTAAAAAAACGAAAAAATCTAAGTGATGCAGACATGGATTCAAAAGGCATTAAAGAGAAGCCTAAAGAAGATATTACAATGCTAACTGGTCCAATTATAAGATTTCAAGTCAAGAAACTAAAACATATATTTCAAGATTTTGTACAAAGATGGATATAATAAAAACTTAGCACATGTAAACTATTTGAGGAATCAAAAAAGCTATAAAAAAAAATCATTCATTTCGTCAAAGTGTGTGGGCATAATTTAAAATGAATGTGTAGAATCATTTTAGTCATTTTCTAGATAATTAAATTATGTTCATCTTTTCTTAAGTCATTTAATACTATATTTTCTTAAGTCATTTAATATTATTATTCTATAGATCATTTAATATTATTATTCTATAGATCATTTAATATTATGTTTCCTAGGTCATTTAATACTATGTTCTTGTAGCTCATTTAATATCATGTTCTACTACATTATTTTATATAATGTTTTCCTATATCATTTAATACTATATTTTTCTAGGTCATTTAAATTATATTCATATTTTCCTACATCATCTAATTATAACCATTTGACAAAATATAGGTGTTTTAGCCTACAAATATCTTTTTTTCAATGTAATATGACACACTTCGATTATTGAATGAATTTTTTTGCCTTTGGTAGAATTTTGACAAGTGAGAATTCTTATTCTTCTTATTACATCAAGAATTGAATTAACTTACCAAGTTATCTTGTTGCGTTTATTCATTCTTGTTTTTTTTTATCCCAATCACCTAAGTACTCAATTATAGGTTAGTTATGGGTTTTATAGGAAGAATTTATTTAGAGTTCTAATTTATCTATGCTAAATATATATGTGGGATTCTGAATGAAATCTTTGATCATCGGATTCTGCATCATTAAGTCTAATTGCATCTCTAGAGCTACCATTTTGTTTGAAAGTATCACAAATTTTTTAAAAATTATAGAGGTGTGCATTAGAGTCATCATTTGGAAAATCCCTAAACTAAATTGAGGTTCGGATCATCATTATTATTGTAGGTTTGATTTCGAAGTTATTAGCATTGACATTCGGTCGAACGATGCTAGATAAAGCTTCTACAAGTGAAGGAGTGGCACGGTCCCTTAGTGTTCTTCTGTTGTTCTCATTCAAAACATCCTCTTTTCGTCTAATTTTTTCGTATTCAGTCATCTCAACTTCGTTTGTCTTTCTATTACTAAGTGTTCTTTTCTCGCTCGATTCAGTTGTTTACAAGTCTTTTCGATCTTAGGATTTATATGAAACAGTTTTGTATTTTTCGATCGACCTATACACTAATTGAAAACAGAAAAAAAAATAGCGTAATCCACTCACGAAAAAAAATAATAATAATAAACAAAAATAAAATAAACTAAATAAATAAAAAATTACACTTAAAAGTAATAAATAGAAATAAAACTAAAATAAAATATAAATTTAAAACTAAAACTGCAAGTAAACGAAAAATAAAAAAATAGAATAAATATATATAAATAAATTAAATTAAAAAATTATACTTAAAAAAATAAACTCTAAATTAATAATAGAATTCTTAGTATTGATATTGATACTAACAATCCCCAGCAACAACACCAAAAACTTAATATGCGAATTTACAAGTATACAAAATAATTCAAGTCATAAAATGATGAATAGAGTATCGTTCTTTAAGAATTTTGTATCAAATATTAAAAATATAAAAATTATAATATTATTTAAAAATTAAAATTAAATTTATAAATTAAAAAAAATTAAAATAATTTAATCAAACAAAATAATTAAATTCATGAAAACGCACAAGAAGAGTTGATTTCACTTGAATTTTCGGCATGTACAGCAACTATTAAACTGAAACTTTTATCCCAAAATAGTGCAAACTAAAAACTAAAACAATTAAATTACTTGAATGTTTTTTTCTCAATTTCTCCCTCTAAGTTCTCTACGATTGCCTCCCCATCGTTAATCGGTTCGCTCCAGTTATGGTTTCCACCAGATCGCTTTACTACTTCTACGCTTATTTTTCAAGAAACACTACATAAGTTTTCAGAATAAAATTTATATATACTTTTGCATATGGTATACATAACATAATATCATTAAATTAATATATTTCTTATATTTTTTCTTTTGTTTCAAAAAATAAATTGATTCTTACAATACCATACAATGACGTATCAAAAAAAATTATCACAGCGTTATCATTCTATAATTAAAATAACATAAATAGAAATTTAAAAATTATTATGAAGATTATTCAAAAAATGAAAAATAAGTAACCATTTAATAGTGATCTACTAGTTAATGTATCTACAATCTAGCTAGAAGGTCATAAGAAAAACTATAAATATAATTTTTTAGGCATAAATATATATGGGTAAGTTAATTTTTTAAGGGTTAAAAAATTAAATTTAAAAGAAAAAACTAAAATTTCGTAACATTTATGACAGCACTAGTAGAGATTTAATGTACATATTAGTTGGTTATTACAAAAATAATTTATTATCTTGAAATTAGTTAATTAGTTAGTAGATAATTTATTGTATTTTAACTAGTTAATTAGTTGACTGTCAGTATTAAATTAGTTGATTAATTTTTTATGATTAGCACTTAGAAATTTATGATCTTTAGTTGAATGTAAGCAAGTTTTTCAGCTAATTTTTTTCGGATACAAGGTATCTGTATTTTCCAACATTTCCATTTTTGTTTAGTGTCATCAGCCTCTATTTTTTAACAATACTCTAGAAGTAATGTTTTCAAATAAAATGACAAAATTATGACATTTGAATTACAATAAAACCATAACATTTGCTGCTGAAAGCAGAAAAGCAAAAAGAAACTTCAATGTAAGGATTAACTCAAATGAAAAAGCTCATAAATTAATTCTACAGTGCAGACCATTTAGAACAAATGTGTTTTGAGAAGATCAAACATAGGCAACAAGAGCAAGCACAATATGAGTCTTCTTGTGAGCAGTGATACCCCGAGTTTCCCCCATGTTGATATCTTCTTTGCTCAACCCTTCTAGTAATTTCCAATCAAAATTATATAAAATATTTACAAGTGCAAGTCGCAGCATTGTGTATGCGATATTCATACTAGGATAACCTCTGCGTCCTTCACCGAACGACAACAACTCAAAGTGTTGTCCTTTGAAATCAATTGAGCTTCCTGCAAATCTCTCTGATAAAAACTCTTTTGGGTCTTTCCAAATCTTGGGATCTCATCTGATGGCCCATCCGTTAACATGGATTCTGGTCTTTGGGTATATCTTGTAACCGTTGACCTCAAATTCGGACATGACCTCTCTTAGAGCTAGAAGTGGACCTGGTGGATGAAGTCTCCAGGTCTCTTTCACCACCATGTTCAAGTATTCAAGTTTTTCAACATCATTTTCCTTGACTTCTCCTTTGTTTACGATTAAATCTCTAATCTCAACTTGTACTTTCTTCATCACTCTTGGGTTCCTCGTAAGCTCTGCCAACTCCCATACAATGGTGATTTATGAACTATTAATTCCACCCACATATATATTCTAACACATGTGTATTATGTTGGAGATAGGAGAAAGAGGCTAGAGAGACTAATGAAAATACTCAAGTTTTTCTATTATGATTTCTGCAAAAAAGCTTCAAGTACATGACTATTTATAGCCACTATTACAACTATAACAACCCTGGAAAATCCAAAAAGAAATATATAATAATTTAAGTGTGGAAGGAAAATAAAAGATTAAAGTTTACATCCCTTACACAATAACTTAAAAGTACTAAACAAATATCATGGAATGAATTCTCTGAAAGAAACACGAGAAATGAGAAAAGTAAAGAAAAATATAAAATATTTAGCATCTACTCGCAATCTTCTTGCGAATCGGGCTCGGGAACTAGGTCCTCTTGATCTGAAATGATTAAATAAGAGGTGAGCTTCACTAGCTCAGTAAGGACATCACACTATATCACCGGTACATAAGCAAAAGTTAGTAGAAAATTAAAACAACTAATGGAGCACTAAATTTAAACTAATACATTTATTAAAAATAAAACCATTTACACTTCACTTACTATTGTGAAATTTAAGAAAACAATCTATAAAGACAATAACATCATACATATCATAACTTCATGCACAATCAGTAACATAAAATATATCATAAATTCATATTAATTAACAATAACTAAATCATAACGGTTTCTCATTTCACCAGCCCATTAGTATCCATAGGGGTGTCCCCACTACACGTGAACCCTTTTCCTTAACAATCTTAATTACAGAGCCGTCCCCATACTCCGTCCGGTATGGGCACCAAGAAATTAAACCTCAATACCCCATCCGGTATAAGCGTCAAATGACCAAGTCTTCATACCCCGTCCGGTATGAGACAACGTTTACGGTAGGATTTTATCTATGAACCCGGTCCGTCCACCATCTCTCAATATATCTAGTGAGGCTGTCGTCTTATCTGTTTATTTGATCATATCCCTTTCCCATTTTTCTTTAGTCCTTGTTACCAAATATAACATAATAACATAAACAAATGAACATGCATTCGGTAATGCAGTCATATCTTAAATCCCAAAATCAAACAGTGATCAAGTAAGTCAGTAATACATGCATTTAAACCATAAAGTAGATAAATCAGATACTATCATATTTTTAGACTGTAAAATAAATCAATAGAAATTAACATAAACGATGTCAGGTTCAGGCTCCATTAGTAATCCGTAATTAATTATGCACATCTATTTAATTTGTACAAAATACCATATTATTATTTATTCAAACTTCAATTCTATGATAGAAAATAGGGTTAGGGGTCCTTACTTGATTTGACGCCGAAAAATTAAATGGTTTACTGCGCTTACGGGCGGTCTTTGGGATCCCTGAATTTTTCTTTGGGAACTGAAACGCGCTTACAGTACCTAAAAATATACCAAATAACCCAAAAATCAATCCCAAGGCCTACTCGGCCAATTTCAAAAATCCAGCACGTTGGCTCCGCCGTGCTCCGGCAACGGTATCTGCCTCAAGTTGGCTGTTTTCGGTCGAATTCAATCAAATTTGCATCAGTTCCTACGAGAAAACACACTTAGGGCACTCGGTTGGCCAAAAAAATGTAGAAAATTGAAACTCACCGACGGCGGGACTCTCCGGTGCGGCGGCTCCTCCGACTCACGTTGCGATTGGGTGTTTTGCTCCGGTTAACCTGTAAAGAAGGAAATGGTGATCACAACGGTAAAAAAATCACATTGAACGGGAATCGGAAAGGGCCTGATTGGAGGTGTTTTCCGAAATACCCCGCGGCGACGATAGCACCGAGCTTTGCCAGTATTTTCCAGCCAATGGGCCGATCTTTTTGCTCTAATTTGGTCATTGGTGTGTTTAAAATTAAATTATGAGCAAAAGGTGAGTCTTACCTCGTTTGGCGATCAGAAATTTCTCTGATGTGGTGACGGTCGGCTCCCCGACGGCTGGGCTGTCTTCTCCGACGAGGGGTTCTAGTGACTAGGGTTAGGGTTTAGGTGCGGATAGGGTTATTTATACCTATCTGCTTTTGATTTGGGCCATCTATCGCTGTTGATCTAGACCATCCGATCGCGATTAAATAGGGAGTGAATCTGGACTGTTCATCGCGATTCAATCTGAACCGTCCGTGCGCGAGAACGAATCTCAGTCGTTCGATCACGCGCACGCGAATCGCCCACGCGGCTCCCCTCGCATGGCCTCTCATGTCAACGCCTTTGCCACCTGGTGCGTCCTGGTTGGTCAGGGCTGCTGACAGGACATCTTACGTGGTGTAATTTTTCTAAATTGCGTTTTGACCTCTGATTTTCGATTTTTCTTTCAAAAATACCCTCAAAACCCAAATTTTCACCCATTTTTTTATTAAATTAAAATAAAAGAAATTAAAATAAATTAAATAAATAAATAACTATATAAAAAATAAAAATAAAAATAAAAGAAATTATTGGCTGTTACAACAACTACTAGAATTATATTAGAATTAATTTTAATTAACAATAATGGTTATAAGAAAAGTATGAATTTGAGACCACTTCATTTAAAACTGAACGAAGATTATTGAAAGAACATATTCCTCCTGTGCGCAAGGACAGCCTAGATCCATTCCCTCTTCAGCCCAGGGGTACCGGTAAGTAGGTAAAAATATAATGTTTTCGATTATAGTTCCTTTAAATGTGTAATAAATTGCTATCTTAATTATTGCTTTCAT